TCTCCCTTGTCCAGGTGATAGGTCACCTGGTTGTAAAAGGAAATAAGGTTGTAAGCAAGTCCTAACTGCAACAAACCTGTTCTGGCTATCCCTCAAAATGTTGCCATCGCCAGTCTGTTAAGAATGGTCTCTTTGATAATCTTTTCTAAGAACTTCCCCGGGGTAGAGGTCAGGCTGGTGGGCCTGTAGTTTGCCGGACCCACTTTCCTCCCTTTCTTGAAGATAAGCACCACATTGGCCTTCTTCCAATCTTTGGGCACTTGACCAGAGCGCCAGGAGTTCTCGAAGATCCGTGCCAGGGGCTGAGCCATGATGCTATTCAGCTTCTTGAGTACCCTGGGGTGTAAATTGTCAGGGCCAGATGACTTGAAGGTGTCCAGCCTCTCATGGTGTTCCTTCGCAAGGTCAGCATTGATGGAGGGTAAGGAATCTTCCTCACCCAGGCCTCCCTGTCCCATGATGGGCAGGGGCGTCTCATGGGACTGGTGAAAGACCGATGCAAAGTACCCATTTAGTAAGTTGGCTTTTTCCTGGGTGTCGGTTGTCAGTTGTCCCATCTGGTTTAGCAGGGGTCCAGTGTTGCCCTGCATTGTGGTTGATACTTGTAGCCAGCTGGAGTTCTGTTGCAGCCTTGGCTATCGTTGTTTGCTCCTTGCAGGTCCGGACCAGTGCAGAATATTCCTCCTTGGAGGTGGATCTCGTCCTCCGTCCTTTGTAGGTCTTTCTTTTTAGATGCAGGAGGTCCACTAGTTCCTTGCTGAGCCAAGGGGGCTGCTGTGCCCTTTTGCTGCCTTTCCTCCAAGATGGAATAGACTTAGCTTGTGCATCTAGGGTCACTCCCTTGAGGAGCAGCCACTCTTTCTGAACTGTCCTCCCCTTGGGGTTGTGGTCCCTTAGGGCCTCATCGACAAGCCTCCTGAGCTTGTCAAAGTCAGCTTTCCTGAAGTCAAGGACTTCTGTATTGCTGACTGACTTGCCAGCCTTATGGCAGATGGTGAAGGTGATCAGCTCATGGTCGCTGTCACCCAGCTTCCCTTCGATCATTAGGTCGCTGATTAGGTTGTCCCTGGTTGCCAGTACCTGGTTGAGCAGCACTTTACTTCTCGTTGGCCCATAGACTTCTTGCATCAGATAGACCTCATCCATGAACATGAGAAAGCTTGGCGAACACTCGGATTTGGCCGAGCGCTCCTCCTACGAGATGTCTGGGTAGGTGAAGTCTCCCATGACAACCATGGACTGGGAGTGTGCAGCCTCAGCCAATTCCTTGGCGAACTCCTGATCAAGCTCTTGATTTTGGGTGGGAGGTCTGTAATAGACTCCCACCATTGTGTCCCCTGTGCAGTGTTCCCTACGGATTTTAACCCAGAGGGTCTCCAATTGTTCACCTTGAGTGCCCGTATTAGTTTGCAGGGACGCATAGCTCTCCTTGACACAGAGAGCTACACCCCCGCCCCTTTTGTCCACTCGATCTCTCCTGTACAGGGTATAGCCATCTATTCCCATGGTCCAGTAATGGGTGGAGTCCCACCAGGTCTCCGTTATCTCTATGACATCGTAATTATTTGTGTTAAGCAGGAGGACAAGTTCCTCCTGTTTATTCCCCAAGCTCCTGGCGTTGGTTTACAGGCATGCAAGTGCCCTCTTAGGGGCCCTTGCCTTGCCTACAGGTTGTTTCAGGGCTGGGGCAGGAGTGGGCTCCCTTAAGTGCCTTGGCAGGCCATCAGTGGTGGTAGCTCCCTGTCCCCTGGCGGACTTAGTTTAAAGCCCGGTGGAGCAGGTCAGCCAGTCTGGCTAAGAAGAGCCTCCTCCCCAGTAGAGAGAGGTGGAGGCTGTCCCTTCCCAGCAGCTCGCTGCCTCTCTCACCAAAGAGCGAACTGTGGTCATGGAAGCTGAAGCCTTCCCGATGAACCAAAGACTGAGGCGCTGGTATCACTGCGTAGTATCAGAATGTAATATCAGACTTGACTGATTCATGTCAAACTGGTTTATGGAACTTTTGTCCCAGACCC